TAACACCATGGTACAGAAGGAACAACATAATTTTGAATACGTATTAACTGTAGACGAGATGGAGCATATCGCAAGGATTGCAGCCTTGGCTGAAGAAGAATTCAAGCATTCTGGATCGTTCAAAAGTATACAAGATGGTCCAACGAATTGTGCCACACAAAAAGATGAAGTGGAATGCCCCAAACCGGAGAAGTTGTCAGAATCGGATCTGGAACAAAATGATTCCTGTGAGTTTGCTGAGCAGGAATTTCTAAATTTGAAAGATGACCTGGTCAAGGCTGGATCCAAGAATCTATCTGTATTAGATCTGGAAAGAGAATATAAACTGACCAAAGAAGAATTGGAGCATATTGCGTATGTGGCGGAGTTAGCCGACGACCCATTTACAAAGTTTGATTTTCCGCATGCTGTTGATAATAAAGCTAATATTGTAGCTGAAGAAAAAATGACAGAAGTTTGCCAAAAATCTTGGGACACGAAAAAAACTAAAGAGATTTTAATCGCTATGAAGCAGCATGAGACTTTTTCAATGGAAAAACATATAAGTGATATAGCAGTGAATGCTGAACCTCACTCAATTCCGAAATTGGGAGCAGCAGTCCATGAAGATGAAATCTCGCAAGAAGAGATACATAAAAGGCCTGAGCAAAGTGAAACAGTCTTGGAAAGCAAATTAACAGCGGTCAGAGCGCTGGATGATTTAAGCGAAAAGCTTCGGCTCTGTCCACATGAAATTTCTCACGTTGTTGATAACGAAAAATTGTTAGGTTTGCATTATCCAGCTATGGACAAAAAAACGACTGAAGCCAACGAAGCCACTGATTGTTACACCAGCGTAAAAAACTTCACACGCTCTAATTCCTTTGTTGCCAGCGGCAAAAGCTCCGTAGTTCAGTCCGAAACCTTCTCAGTGTTTGAGCAGAGCGAAGAAGGAAGTTTACATTCTTCGACATCGGGACCAGATTCCCCCTCATCAGAAACCACGGAGACAACAATTTCTGACGCAGCGCTGAATGATGGACTTAATCAGGATGAGAAAGCGTTATCCGTAAATGAAAAACCGCAGTCTATTCACGTTAGTGAAATTGCTGAAGTGGAATTCTGGAAGCAAGAAGCCGGTTCTGAGAAGTTCGTGA